AAAAGAATATATTGCATAAGTCTCTTTGTATAAAATGTCCAGAGTAGGAAAATTCTTGGAGATAGAGAGTAGAAGAGTATTGTCAGGGGCTGAGGGGAGAGGAGAATGGGGAGTGATGACTTATGAGTCTGAATTTTCTTTTTGGGTTGGTGGAAATATTCTAAAATTAGTGGTTATTGTTGCACAACTCTGAGAATATACTAAACCCACTGAATTTAAAAGGGTGCATCTTATGGTATATGTGAATTGTAGCTAAAAAAGTGATGGAAACCAGGGACAAGATGTTCTCAGGAGCATTTCTTCACAGCCTTCATCTGTTTGCTTCTCTCTTCTGAGCAGCTTGTTTACTTTCTTTGTTCTGAATTCTAAATGTTAGAACCTGGCCTCCCACGGTTCCTAAAGTTCTAAAGTTCTATTACTTTGCAGGAGACCAATCATAATGAGATGGAGACCTCTTTATTTTGACTCCAAATGTGCACAAAAGGAGCTAATTGGTCTGGTACAGATTGGACCAAGTTCCCAATCCTGAGCAATTCTAATAAAATCAGGTTAAGTAATCCAGAGTCTCAACATCTAATTAGGGAATGAAGGGGAGAGGAATTTCTAGAAAAGGGAATAAGGAAAGTAGACCATCCCTGGATGGACTGCCTACCACCTATGCGCTAATATTCCAATGTATGGCCTTTTATATACATACGTACAAATACACACAGACGCATAGCTGTGTCTCCTAGCCCTTCTGGTACCATCTTCTAGCTACACTTTGCACCTGCCTCTTTTATTTGATTTGTTTTTGCTATTTATCTTATCTTCTCAATCATGTTAAAATTTTATGAGGTGCAAGGGCCATTGTCTTCCTTTTGTCTTTTATATCTGCATAGCTTTGGACCTGGAGGCTTCTGCTAGAGCTAAATGAGGAAAGTGAGGTTGCAGTAGATGGAGCCAGATTTAATAGAGCTCACACTGTTTCGGAGACCATTTAAAAAGTATGTCATTTGTACAAAACTAGGATTGGAAGTAAACATCAGAATAATAAAAGAAATCAAGTATATACATTTGGAAAAGCAGACAACTTACAAAAAGCGTATTTTATTAATCAATTTTTAAAATTAACATTCCAACATATCTCTATAGTGCTTTTTTCTATCACTTTTTTGTCTGCATTCTGTTTGATCAACAATTTTATAATGCCATTTTCTATAGTGGGAATAGAAAGATCTTTCCTCTAGCATGCATAAAACATGCAAATTCACACTCAGATGAATTTGGTGGGTGACGTATTGCTACAGATTTCTGCCTTAGAAACATACAAATTCTCATGCATTCTGTTTTCTTGTTCCTCATCAAAAGGAAAAAGAAGTATGCTGCATTTGTAATTGTAGGCTTTATGATAACTGTATTCCATACAGGAGATGACTTTCATTTTGACTAGGCATCAATAATAATCTGTTCTGCATTAATAATTTTACATGTTTGATGACTGGATGAATTTTTCCAGATTAACATCAAGCTTCATATTTTTCTAACTTTTTAATCCTGCACAATCCTGTGTAGGTGCCATTAGACAAGTGCATGTCCGGGTAGAAACTCTGGTTCTACGTGGATTTCTGTCTCTGCCGCATGCTTGGGGTAGACTGGGACAGAAGGAGGAAGTTTTCTCCAATTATTTCTGCAAGCCTCCAGTATGACAAACAGACAGCTGCCCACAGAAGTGACTGCAGGGACAGAAATGCATCTCTCCAAACCCAAAATGAATGTGTCCACACTCAGCCTCCTGGAATCCCAAAACTCTTGTGGTCACTCCAACCCCAACCTATACAAAAAGATAGGTCAGGGAAGAGAAGTTAGAGGGAAAGAAACAATATTCTCAATTAATTATGAGTTAAAACCTTTGCAGTCTTCAGAAGTGTACAGCCACATGATCACATTTCTGGGTCTATCTGTTGAACATTTTGGAAGTAGCTTGTGCTGGTAAGGGGTCCTGAAAGTCAACTTCAAGGCAAAATCATCTCTTCAGAATATAGGTGTTTTTGGATATCATAGAAGGTAGAGATAATTGTTCTTATTCAATGAGTTGTAATAGGTTGCACCCTTTAATTTTCTTCTCAATGGAGTCAAGAGCTGGAGATCAGAGTCTAACAGTTTGGGATCTTTGTCTAATTTTTTCAAAGCAGTTTGATCAATAACACAAGAGGAGCTCTGTGTCCTTTGGATCTCAACACCACATTGTGTCTGACCTAGGCCTCAGCCCTACCATCCAGTGGGACTCCTACAAATATCTGTTCAGAGAGTCGATGACAGTCTGATACAGAAGGCCCAGAGAATCAAGCAGGATAATGGAAAGAAGAGTGTTTTGCAAATAGAAAACTCCTCTACCAAAAGTAAGTCTAACAAGAGGGTTCATTTTGCTTAGAACATCCCTGTGCCATTGACTGAAAACAACCTTTGCATTGTCAGATGACATCTACCCTCCCACCAAGTGGGAGAGAGACACACCCTTTGCAAAGAAGTCCAAAGACTTCAGTTGACTCAAGTCCTCTGTCAGCAGGAATTTGTGAAGAATAAGAAGGAGAAATCCTCCAATGGTACCCTAGATTTTCACAGTATCACCGCTCTCAGAGGTGTCCGGGCTACGAACTGGAAACACAGTTTCAAATACTTAATAAAAAGAAGATATTAACCCATGCAGTTTCATTGTAAAGTGAAACTGCTTTTCTTCCCTGCTCTACCCTAAGTTACTTATTCTGTCTGGCATTTTTATTTATTAAGGGTGACTTAATAAAAATAACTGTATTGAAATAATAAGTGAACTGAAGGAAGAAGTTGTTTTATCAGGTATTGGGCAAGTGACCTTTCATGGAGAAGCTTAAGTAATAAAAGGAATATTTTTATTGGCTTATATCAGTGAAAACTCCAGGGTTATATGGCTTCAGGTGTAGCTGAATTTAGGAAAAGAAGTAATTTTGTTGGGAACTGATCTCTCATTCAATGGGGAGAAGGTGGTGGCCAGAAAATTCAAATTCAAACCACTTTCTTGGTTTTGAGCATGTTGGAAAATGAGAGACATCTGTTCTTCAAAGTCACAGCAGTCTTACTGTCCTAACTCAAGCTCTCATGAGGTTGGGGCTCATCCCTGAGCTGATTGCTGTGTCCACATGGTATGGCAATCTATTGGTCAGGGTTGAGAAATGAACTCACCCAGATGGGAAGATGTATGTCAGCTACAATCTGGAAACACAGGCTGAGTGGTCCTCCAAAAAAAAGAAGTAGATCCTGGGTAGTGGGTACATCTTTGAAGCAAAAGTTGTCTTCTCTAGCGCTGCTTTAAGGCTTAGAATCAAGAGACCCAGGTTTCTCAGGCTAGTTAGCTTGCAAGTAGTAGGAACCACTCTCAGTCTGAACCATCTCCTTAAGCAAAGGTGACAGCCTCCTAACCCCAAATCCATGGCGCATGTGTAGTGACATGGAAAGTAGATGCTCATAGACAGCTGTTAATTGTGATGCTTCACAAAGGTGGTATAAACAGATCACTGCCAATTGAAAGTTTTAATTAGATTTATTAATTCCAGAATGCAGTTGAAATGTGGCGAATATTGATTGTAATGGCCTCTGTTTTAAATATAATTAATTCATGATCTGCATAATTGCTCATTACCTGTACCTTAATTATGGGGCATAAAACATTGTTTATCACTAACATTGTACTAATGGGAAGACAGGCATTCTCTGATAACTTAGGATTCTTGATATTTTTGTTCAAGAGAGCAATGAGACATTTCATTTTCCTTAGAGGGAGAGAGAGAGAAAATAGGAGGCTGTGTCTCCAATGACAACCAGTATGCAGAGACAACCTGATAAACACAGGGCATTTATGATTCTTTTATGACTACATTTTCTGACAAGATAAAGTAAATACTCTTTTGTGGGACTTTACAACTGCACAGGGCTAAAGCTACTGTCCAAGGGAACTGAAAAATCTGAGTATAAATATGTTGTGTTTGAGCCAGGCTCATGGGCAATAAGGATATCCTAGCAGCTTGACAATTTTCATATAATAACGTGAAGAATTTCATGGTTTTTCTTCATCTTACTGCTTGTACCAGCACAATATATCTTTTCTAGGAAAAGAATTATACAAATCTATGATACTTTCTGTTTTTTTCCTATATGCCATCAATCCTAAAGAACATATGCCTATTACTGTTAGTGATTTTTTTAAATCTAAGCAACAAAACCTGAAATATACTACTTTTACGGAAAAGTCACATTGCCAGAAATATCTCAGGTAGGTGAGATTTTAGTGAATTTTGATTTGTGAGAGTTTTTGAAATTCTTTTTTCCCCCTATCCTTCTGGTACTGGTGGTTAAGTCCAAGGCCTTCACACTGAACTACATTCTGAGAGCTTCATTTATCTTTTTTATTTTTTGGAATGGAGTCTTGCTAAGTCACCAAGAATGGATTTCAGGAGCTTGTGATCCTCCTGCCTCAGCCTCCTGAGTGTTGAGATTACAGGCATGCACAATTTGGAATCTCTTTTACCCAGACTTGTGGAAGATAAGTGAGTCCTGCAGACATCTGTGTGCATCTTTGCATGAGCTTAGCACTTCCAGAGGGGCAGAGGTGTGTACTTGATTGTGAAAGACACCTACAGAAACTGACTTCTGGTCCAGCAGCCAAGCAGGGACAAAGGAGGGCCAGAGAAGAAGGGCCACCTTCCTCAATTCTCTGTGTTTCTGGGCAAGGTTTTGGAAGGGAATCGATTATTGTGGGCTGTGACTCTACACAAGTGACCAGAGTTGTGTTTCATTCTTCCCAAAGTACAGGACACCTTAGGCCAGAATTTCTCAGAGGGCTCTGCCCTGGATGATCACTGTCATCTCCCTTTTCATGATGCGTCCATCTAGGTCACATATTGCTGCTCCCTGTGCCCCCCCTAAAGCCCATGGTGTCTGCCTGTCAGTAGAAGCTGGTCATATAGCCACAGAAAAGAGCCACCAAATTAGTGGGTGTGGTGTTCTGTTTACCAGGGACAAAAGTTCTGTTTTATTGAAATGTACAAATCTGCATTTTTTTCACAAGAAATTCTGAAAAATGGAAACGAACACTGAAAGAAACACAGACAATGGAGAAATTTTTTTCCTGAAATAAAAGCCAGGGAAAGAAATGATTAGAAAAAATTTTCTAAAACTTCATCCATGAATATCTCTTCTACCTCTGATGAGTAAGAGTGAGTGGTTAGCATCACCCAGGTTGTTACTAACAAAATAAATGAAGAATCAACCTTAGTAAATAAAAAGTTATGTTCAAAGGAGGTTCTGTTGCCTTTTATGCTGATCATAAAGGAAGAAACCAACCATTTCTCTCAGTAGAAAAATCTTTTCTGTCTGACCCTTAGAAAGAGGTCCTAATTTCCTCTTACAAAGATTTTGATTTTGTTAGATTAGCACCCACTGTATGACTTATTTGTATGGTTAAAACTGTCACTAGATGACTATATTTTTTTAATCCAAGGCCTTTGCACTGAGTTACATCCTCAGTTCTTTTGTTAAAATTCTTTTTATTTTGACAGTGTCTCCCTATGTCACTATTTATGATCTTCCTGCCTCAGTCTCCCCACATGCTAAGATTACAGGAATCTCCTAACACACCTATCTTAATTATCTCTTTAAAGACCCAAATAAGTCACTTTTTGAGGTAGTGCAAGTTAAAAGTGCAACATTTAAATTGAGAAGGGAAGCGTAAAGTAGCCCAAAACAAATAGTAATGGGAAATACATGAGCAGAGGTGCAGGAAAATGCTCCGTAAATTATAAACTATTAGATAAACACAAAAGACCATCCCTACCTCTTCAGACAGTGCCCACCCTCCTGGCTGCAACTCTAGTCAGAGCTCTTAATGCGAGGTGTAGTCTGTCCTTAGGGGAAATATGGCAACTTGTGGAGACTCTTGGCATTTTGGTTCTGCCCGCTGGAGGGATTGCTACTGGCATTAGTGGGTAGAGGTCAGAAATGCTGCTGCGGAGCTTTCCACCGCCACCACTCCAACAAAAACTGCGCAGTACAGATGCCGGGAGTCTCTGACACTCCCTTCTTTTTTATTTACTCTTCCTGCTTTCACTTGAAGGTAGAAGAGGAGGATGTGGTGAGAAGAAAAATACAGAAAAGCCTCCTTTAAGCAGGGTTTGCTCAGTGCACACCTGATTCCAGGAGCCCGGGGCCCCAGATGCCTTCCTGCTTTGCTAAGATCATTTTCCTGGAGTTGGAGAAAGTGCCACTTCCCCTCTAGGGTTACGATTGCTTGACTCTTCAGCCTTCTACAATGCGCCTCATCATGTCCAAAACACTGAAAGCAAAAGAGATGAATTAAAGCAAGGGCTGGCTCCATGACTGGGAAACAGCTGGGAAGTAACTGCTTTCCATAGCCTTCAACCCAAACATTAAGACCACCTGACTGTCCCGCTCCCCTTCCTCTTCATCACCCACATGTCTAAATTTAGCTCTTCCCAGTGACCCAGCGAAAGATCAGAGTGCTCTTTACACTCCCCAAAGGCAAGAGCAGAGCAAAGGGAGACCTAGTAGTTAAACGGGCCAGGAAAATGGGAGGGAGGATGGGGCAGGAAAGCAGCATCTAGAAGACTTTGGAGATCGTCTGGGGACCTCCTGGCCCAGGGTGAAGAGGGGAAGTTTTGTTTCCATAGTCTTGGGTCTCTGAACAGCAGCCAGAGTGGGTGCCTACCCGCAGGGTCCTTGGTTTCCCTTCCAGTCCCACGAGACAGCCTGGGATGAGCAAGACCTTGTGCTCCTGCTAGGGTTCTTGGAAGCACACAGGGAATCACAGCCTTGGTCCCACGGGGTTCCCTGGGCATGTGGGGAGAACACCCTGTGCAGAAGCAAAGACAGGACTGGGCACTAGGAGTCCTCCCCTGCATAGTTACTGGGTTCCTAGGTGCTGCAGAACTGGCAGAGAGCTTCTGTGCCTAGGGGAGGGAGCTGGACTAGTTTTGTACCACCCTGCACATCTCCTCCCTTAGAAAGAGGCTTGACCTGCAGTGGGAGCTGAGCTGAGTGCCTAAGGTGGACTGGGACACTCAACAAAGGCATCTGACAAACCTTCTAGCCCCTTTGACCAACATGACACAGAGTTAAAAATTTAGGTGAGAGTTATCAGTTGTCTGTACCATGATCACCTCCATAGATAACAAGGAAGCATCAGAGGAAAAACACCCGTGTATACTTGTCACCGAGAAAGTCACTTTATCATTATAGAACCCTTGAAAAAAAGATGCTAGAGAGATAGTTTTTTTCATGCCAGAAAGGGACCAGGGAGGACTGAGCTGGGACAAGTAGCTGGTGTAGGCTGGAAGTCCGGACAGCTGTCCGCAGACTGTGTGGAGGGGCTGGGGCCATGTACTTGCACTGTGGGCTTGGGAAGGTGGGAGACTGGTGAGATGACCCAAGTGCAATGTCCAACCTGGGGTGGTGGCACAGGCCCACAGTCTGTGTACTCTGGAAGTCTGAGGCAGGAGGATTACAAGTTCTAACCCCCCACCCCAGGAAAACTAGAGAGAGTTTGTCTCAAAATAGAAAATTTTAAAAAGAGCTTGGAATGTAGCTCAGTGCAAAGGCTCTAGGTTTAATCCCCAATGCTGTAATAAAAAAGAGAATAGAAAGAAGAGAAAGGAGAAAAAGAGAGAGAGAGAGACAGATAGAGACAGACAGAGTGAAAGAGAGAGAGAGACAGAGAGACAGACAGAGACAGACAGAGAGAGACACAGAGAGAAACAGAGAGACAGAGAGGAGAGATGAAGAGTGAGAGAGAGACAGAGAGAAGGAGAGAGACAGAGAGAGAGAGAGAGAGCCAGAAAGGGTGAGAAAAGCAATGGTCACAGGAATACCTGGATTTCCTCACAGTCACTATTTCTTGAATTCTTTGTTTCAAACCTTTTTTTTTTGCAGACCACTGTGGGGTACAGTACTGACAGCAGTGTCTAAAACTAAAATGACACCCCATGTGCCAGTCTGGCCCTTGCTTCTTCTGTGCATTGCCATCACGGATTTTCGCTGTGATCTACGAAAGAGGTTTGCCTGATAACCCATTTGTTTACTTTAACTTTCCGCCTGATCCCATGGGTTCAAGCAACTTGTCCTAGTGACTTAATCAGTAAGAAGTAGAGCAGGGTTGTAGCAAGGAAAAGACTAAAGCCCTGGGCTGCCCTCTCCTACCAAGAGCGGAGTCAAGGAGAACAATGCCAGGAAACACCCTAGAGGTTAGGACAGGTGGGGCCATGGGGTTCAAGTTGTGACATCCATGAGATGGGACAGGGAGATTTTTACAAGTAAATCAGACAGTGCTGTCCCATTTTGCAGACTAGAAAACAGGTGTAGGGAGCATCCACCAAGTGCTGCTGGAAAGCCCAGCTGCCAGGGCTCTCTACAGGAGTCTGTTGGCCCATACAGAGCTCTGCTGCCATATGAATGAGCAAAGTGCAAGCTGCTGTTGATGTGAAAATATTGTCCACCAATACAATATCATGCATTGGCCTAACAGAATCCCACAGTAAGATGGGGTTCTGGAGAATACCTGTTCCTCTTGACCCCTTGCAGAGTGAAAAACTGAGGTCCCCAGAGTGCAGATGCCATTGGCCTAAAGCTGCACACTGCCGGCTAGTGGCAGAGCTAAGACTAGGTCTCCGAGTGTCTGCCACCTAGTAACTATTCATGAAGCAAACCATTTTGGAGGGTAGGGAATGAGAAAGGGATTGCTTGATTATCAGTGAAATCGATCAACAAAGTCACTATTTAATTAAAAAATATATCAAAACCTTTCTTGATAATGATCGACCTGTTACACTGGAGCAATTAAAGTGGTGATTTTATTTACTGAGTTACTGCCAACTACTATGATTTTTTTTTGTAATACCCTTGTGATAACTCAATTGGAAATATGTGGTAAGACAGAGTAATATAATGCCTTTTCTTCGCATAACTAGTGCCACAGCCAACCAGGGAGTTGATCTGATGGGTCCATTTGCACAACTGAGATCCCCTTTGTGCCATTCTGTGTGCAATGGCTCTAGAGGGACCCGTCAGGAGTCTTAGATGGGGCCATATTTGAACTGGTAAAGTACACCCCCATGTGCTCAACTGCTCAGAGGCCACTGCGCATTAGAGGTAATCAGGAATGGATACTTTTTAGGATTTAAATATTAACTTTTTTAAATGAAATTTTCATTTAAAGTTTCATGAAACAGGAAGGCAACTGCTTTGGGCTGAACAATTATGTCCTCTCGAGATACATGCTGAAGTGTAACCAACCCGAGTGTAACAGCATGAGGAAGTGGGCCTTTGGAAAGGATTAGACCGTGAGTGTGGACCCTCAGGAAGGGGATTCATGCCCTCTGAGATGGCTCACAGAGCTTCCTTGCCCTTTCTGCCATATAAAGACCAGACAACAAACCTATGAGTTCCTCGACCTTGAACAGTTCTCAGTCTCGAGAACTGTGAGCAGTGAATTCTCTGTGTTGGAAGCCACTCAATCTGTGCTATTTTGTTCTAGCAGCATGAATGCACCAAGAGGGCATCATACTTCCCATGTCCAAGTTTCAATCTCTAGACTTTCTCAAGGAGTAAAAACCTATAATTCTCTGAGTAAACAAGATCACATTTCTTGTGGTGCGTGCCTGTATCCAGGCATTCAAAGGCTAAAAGCCATGTAGATGTTGGGCTCTGAGTAGCAAAAATGTCCACTTTCATTAATAACTTTTGTTATTTCCCCATTTCCTTTTTCATGTGCCCCACTACACTAATGCTCAAAGAAAGAATTCCACAATCAATTAAAGTTGAGGAATACTACCAATATAATATTGCCTTTGTATATTTAACATTGTGTTCTGAATCAATAAATTGGGTTAATATTTTAGTTATCATTTTGCATTTATCTGCCTACAGAACATAATCTTTATATCATACTTATTAAAAATTTGAAGACCCCATTTTGAAGAACTCCTAATGGATCAGAACTAACCTGAAATTGATTTTTAATTGGTGAAGGCATAGACAACACATAAAGGATTAGAAGATGTAGATTCTAGTATAGACTCTTCTATTACTTTGCTGTGTGACTTTGGGTAAATTATATGCCTCTCAGGTTTAATTTGCTTACTTGTAAGTTAAGGAGCTATAATTAGATCGTTCCTAAGGTCCCTTCTGGGTCTGGAGTATCATGATTTTTCTGATTGGTTCAAACTTACCTGGTTGTGGGCTGTCTACTTTCTTATCCTCTGTTACATTCAAAGTGGCCGTTTCAGAGTCTACACAGCATTCTGGAATCTCCCCCAGACCAGAAAAAGTGACTCACAATATTCCCAGGGCCATTGAGGTCAGATTTCTGCCTATTGTAAGACAATAGCTATGCCAGTCAGTTTAACTTTCTCTGCCTCTCTTTCTCTCTGTCTCTGTCTCACTGTCTCTCTGTCTGTCTGCCTCTGTGTGTGTGTTTGAGTGTGTGTATGTGTGAGTGTGTGTCCCATGCAGTCCTCATCAGTGAGTATTATGAGGACAAACAGTAGACCTGACCCTACTGTTCTGTGAGCACCGGTCTTGACAGGAAACGAGCCAGAACCCACACCTGGGAACAAAAGATCACATGTAGCAATGGGTTGATGGGTCCAATATTCAGAGAGATCTAGTGGAGATTTCTTTGAGGGTAGTCATGAAGATTCTGTCAATGTAGGCAGGCTCCAGAGTGGCAGGTTGTAGAATTCAGAGACCTGTTAAAAAGGAAAATAGTTTGATACACAGAGATGCACAAAGGTGTGTTGTGGTTTGGTGAGTCTCCCTCCAACTAGCATGGGTAGGCAGGAAACAGGACATTGTACAAAGCTAAGGGCTGCAGACAGACAGCAAGAGCTTCTGAATATCAATGTGATCAGAGTCCTACAAACAACTAGGAAACACTGACATTGACGTTTCTTCAGGAAATGGATCTTGAGTATGATTGGAGCCTGACAACAGAGCAGTCACCACTCATGAGCTTCACACATGTCACCAGACATGGAGCGCTGAGTGAGTTTTAGCCCTTGCTTGTCAGTTGGTGGAACTGCTCAGGTATATTATGATGGAGCTGGAGAGATGTGGGCCCTTAAACAGGAAAGGGCTCACGGAGGAAAATCCAGCTCCTCAAGGTTCAGGTGCAGGGAAACGGAGGTGAATCTCTCTTGTGGGCAGATGTAGAAGAGGAAAGAGCCATGCAAATTTTACCTTAAAACAAATGAACTTTTTCTTGCCAATTCTAGACCATCAACCACTGCCTCAGCTTCTAACAGACATTAGGCACCACCCTGTGTAATGTCTAACTTTGGTGATAATGAATGGTAATGGGGTCTCTCCTGCGTTACACAGCAGGGCAGGGAAAGAGGAATGAGATGATTACACGAGGGAGATCGAACCTCTGCTCCATGGTAGACCACAAGAGGTACTTGGTCATTTTCTTTTTCTTTCATGAAATAGAAGACAGAGAGTAAGCATCCATTACGACAAACATTTAAGCAATGATTAAAAGCTAAGTTTGTTGACAGCCCATCTTAATAGAATGCATGACATAGACAGGTCCTAAAATTGGATAGCCTCATTTCACTCTTTAGAGGTAACTTCTCTGGTCTTCTGACCATGGTTCGGTTGACTTAGGAGTCCAGAGAGCCACATGCATATTCTCTGAAAGGAGAAGCTGTTTTGCACTGTGGGGAACTTCACTGGATTGGCAGGGACCCTGATAATTGGGAAAAACTTTCTAAAGCCTCCCTTTTGGGGTTTTTTTCCCCTCCTCTTTTGCTATGTGCTAAATTTGGAACTCAGAATTTTAATATAATCATCTTTTCTCCAGTTGTGCACTGGGTTGCTGAAGACCCTCATGCTTGTGCATTGGTGGGGCCCTAGATAAGAGTTAGAAACATCTAATGGTGATTTCCAGCACAGATCCCAGAACACTCTCTAAGAGGTTCTGTTGAAATACTGGGTGGATGGCATATGCACAGGAATCCGCTCCAATGGCTCTATTTCCAACTGATGGGAATTCC